ATATTAAAATGACTGAACAAAAATTCGCCAATTTTGATGTTTTTTTATATGCACACTGATATGACAGTTGTCAGAATACAGTCTAATAAAATTGTTTCAAATGAAGTTAAAGGCAACTAAGCACTACTAGGGCTGTCATACAGAAAAAACTAAACAAACTCTTTGGCCAACCCAGTGTTTTTATTAAATTTGCTCTTAAATAAAGGCAACTGAGATCTGTGATTTACCTTAAGAACCATCCCCAAAATAAAATGAGTTGTTGGATGGAGAGGGAATGGATAGTTATGTGATAAATATTATAAAATAATAATTGATAGGATCGTGGTGGTTGATGCTCACTACAAAAATTTTTTCAACTTTGCTGCCTGTTTACAATTTTTTATCATATTGAACAAAAGTTCTCTGAATTACATTTGAAGTGAGACCTTTCTTCCCAAATTTCAAAGGAGAAAATGTTACCTTCTTTTTTGCCATTAGTAAATATATTTTGAGAATAGCATCTTTGAGAGAGATATGAAACACTTTTAAATCTAGAAAAAGCAAAATGTTCTTACCCATTAAATTGCTTAGTTTATATATATATATTTTTTTTTTAGAAACTCATTTATTACCCCATTGTTAATTATGTACAATTATTGATTTTAGTGCACTCAGTCTTGAGGATGAGAAAAGAATGCTGGCATATTTGATTAATGGATTTATAAAAATGGTAAGTATTGAGGAAGGAGTGTTAGTGCAATTGGAAATGTGATGTAATTGTTCATCTTCACTCTGGTGAAAGCAGTTAGCATTATATTCCCCTGGTGCTTTTTATGTATATAGACATAAGATGAAATTAGAAAACATCTTACATTTGAAGTGAGACCTTTCTGCCCAAATTTCAAAGGAGAAAATGTTACCTTCTTTTTTGCCATTAGTAAATATATTTTGAGAATAGCATCCTTGAGAGAGATGTGAAACACTTCTAAATCTAGAAAAAGCAAAATGTTCCTACCTGTTAAATTGCTTAGTTTTCATATATATGTGTGTTTTAGAAACTCATTTATTACCCCACTGTTAATTATGTACAATTATTGATTTTAATGCACTCACTAAACCATCACTCCTCCATGGGAAAAGGGGCAAAAAAAACAAAAACAAAAACTGGCTTAAGGAAGAAAAAAAAGTGGGACAGGAAGGGAGACTTAATGGCTCGTGTGGTAAAACATCCAGGAATGGAACCCTTCAGAGGAGCAGCTGGACTCAGAGTCTCTGTAGTGTCCTTGGGGCCTTCTGTCTGTGTTTCTTTGGCTCGTTGCTCTGCAATCTTGGCCGGCTCATTCCCCACGAGAGCTTAGGGTTTCTATTTCTTCCAGCTCTGTAGCCCAGCAGGAGGGACTTCAGCAGAAGTCCCAGGATTGAGTCCCTTTGGATTAATTTGGATCACCGGGCTTATTCCTAAACAAATTGCCTCTCTGAGGAAGAGCACACTGATTTGGCTAGTCAGGGAGACGTATGCCCAATCCAAATCATAGGGACCTGGTGGGGTATGCTCCCTGAAACTCCTGATGTGCTGCTTGCTTATCAATGGTGAAAGCAAGGCTGGGTGCACAATGCCCAGGGTCCACTCTCCATTTGTCTGAGTTACCCATCACCACATAACAACTTACCCCAGATCTTAGTGGCTTTAAGTAACTGTGGTTTTTGTAATTCTTAAAATTCTGTCAGTTGGTTGGGTACCTAAGCTACTCCATGTGGCAGGACTAGGGCTGTGTCCATGGCCTTAGTGCTGGCTGAGGTGTCTCATTTCTGATCCTTGTGATCTCTTTCTTTTCACTGTTCTCTCATTATTCAGTTGTCACAGCTTTCTTTCTGTGGTGAGGGGTAAAACCGAAGCTGCAGGGCCTTTTAAAGGTTAGGTTAAAAAATCATAGTGAGTCACAGGAATAGCCCCTTGCAGGGGAAGGAAAGCCAACTCTACTGTCTTTCTCATCTGTCTGTCTCAATAAGAAGAAACTCTGTGACATGAGCAACAGAATGGGAGGGATGAATGCAGCCTTTTTGGGGAACAACCTACCATACCTTCCTGGCCAGAACAGCTTCTACTTTTATTCTTGGTGCACAAAGCTAAATACCAACTGCTGCCAGTATCCTCTGTTTTAATATTCATGTCCAGACTAAAGCTGACTGAGATGAAAATAGTTAGATCACTTTGAAAATAACCTAGGAAATGTGACTCATTCAACAACAGGGGTCAGTTTAACTATCTACCAAACTGTGGGTAAAATACCAATTTTAGTGAAAATTCAGTTTCCATTAGGAAATGTGCATTGGGCTCTTATCAGGTGCATCTCCTATGCCCTTGATTGATATACTGATTATGTGGTATTTATCCTTTTATAGCTTTGTCTGAAAGCCACTAAGTTGTAATGGAAAAGAATATGAAAGAATAAGATGTGAAATCTGATGGCTGTAGTGAAAATAGCAATGTTAAATTTCTGGACACAAATGATTGCTGTAGCAATAAGTTTGTCCTACTAACCAGCTAGTCATAAATTTGAAGAAATAGGAGAGGGGATCTTTAATGATGGAAAAAATTTCACTTGTGGCTCTGGCAGCCACCAGTGATCTGCTGAGGTTGGAAACCCCATCAGGAAGCAGAAAGGTGTGACTTTTATTATAGAACCCTCTTTGATAAATGGCTCCCAGTAACCAAATTTATATTCTGTGAAAAGGCCGTAGCTGACAAAATTTCATCATTTCCTTTCCAGTGATCTTCTAGCCTGGGAAATTCTATTCATATTTTGAGATTCTGTTTTATGAGGGAGGACCCACCCAAAATGGAATTTATTTATTAAAAATTTGTGTATTTATTCTTACATGTTTAAAGTTCAGGCAACTTCAAAGTACTCTCCACTTGATGCAGTACACTTATTGAGACTTTTTCAAAGCTCAAAACAGTTTTTGAACTTGTTGATTTTGATGCCTTTTAGTGATTCTGCAGTTTTTTTGTTTTACCTCTTCCACAACTACAAAACATTTCCCTTTGAGGACTTTTTTTATCTAGGGAAACAAAAAAGAGTTGTTCAGGGCGATATTGGGAGTATAGGGAGTATGGGACCTGGGGGTTAAGTTATTTCTGGTCAAAAACTGCTGAACACTCCATGCAGTGTGAGCAGGCACATTCATAAATTACCCATCATGAAGTGGGCAAATGTGTTGACAGAGTCTTCAAAAAAATTCACTGATATCAAACACAGCCTCTCATAACACCACCAGCTGGTACACTAATATAGATGGGCCCCTAGAACACTTACCTAGCAGGAGAACCCTGTACTACAAGGGGCCTGCCGTCCAGAAGAAAATTCTGTGGTTTTTTTTTTTTGGGGGGGGGGTTCTGCCTTATATGGCTAACCCTTTGGCCTTTTCATGTTTTACTGGAGTGCCTGTGTCATAACAGTGAGGTGACAATAGTAATATTTCAGCACTATACTGGATGAGGTATTGTAAAGTCTACTTAAAGTATATTCCAGTGAGCATATGTGTATATGTGCTTGCATACCCTTTCCACTCATCCATATCTGGGGAATCTTTGGTGAATTGTCATCACAGCACCTTTCTGACCCCACAGAGCTCAAGAAAAACGTTTTCAATTGTATGCTCACAGTTGACTAGAAATAACATTGTTGGCATCTCTCTCCTTGATTCTAGGTTTCCTTTGGTCGTGATTTTGAACAACAGCTAAGTTTTTATGTTGAGGCCAGGTCAATGTTTTGCAATCTGGAACCTGTTCTTGTACAATTGATTCACGTAAGGCTTTTCTTTCATTCATTTGTTCTTTCAGTAAATATTTGTCATTTATATGCCAGGCACCAGTTATAATCTGGGATTTTTCTAGCCCCATATTGCTCTGTTCCTGATGTATGAAAGTTTTTTTCTCAAAGGTCAGTAAAATCTGTAGCTCTGCTGAAGTCTTAGAATGGTATTCATTGACCTCTTTTTCTCTGAAATTTTTAAATTCTTATTCCTGCATGCCAACAGCACAGAATTTGTGAGGGGCACTCAATAATTAGTTTATAGAAATACCTCAGGTGTCTTGTTGCCTAACCAGAGTTACAGCTTCCTTGGATCGTGGCCCTTTTTAGTAACTTTTTATGGTATCCCCATGTTAAAAGAAATAAATAACATCTCTGTTTATTAAGAAGTTAATCTGAAGCACTTTAAATATTTATGCTCTAACAACTTGATAGCCCTTTAAAACAATATACATAAATTGAAAGAAAATCATGTTTTTTTAAAAATATTTTATTTATTTATTTTTAGAGATGAGGGAAAGAAAGGAGAAAGAGAGGGAGAGAATCGTCGATGTGTGGTTGCCTCTTGCTCACTCCCTCCTGAGGGACTTGGCCCACAATCCAGGCATGTGCCCTGACTGGGAACTGAGCCAGTGACCTTTATGGCTCACAAGCCCACACTCAATCCACTGAGCTACACCAGCCAGGGCAAAATATGCACACACACACACACACACACACACACACATATTGCATTCTTATATATTCTTTGTGTGTGAGTATGTGTGTGTGTGTCTCACATTCTTAAATGACCATAATTTCTGGGCACCTGTTTGGACACTCTGCAACTTCTCAAACCTTGGAGTCAGGTTGGACACTACTACCCTTATTTTCTGGTCCACATTGATTTTTGCACAGCACTTGCTTTTTATCAAGCAGTTTCCAAAACCCAGTCGTGCAATGATACAGTATCATTGCAAGGAATGTAATGTAGTCCAGTACTGAATCTGAGCTGCCCACAACAGTGCTTTTCCTCATGCTTAATAATTGAACATAGCTGTGTTTTCCTATTTTTTTTTAAAAGGTTCCTCTGTGAGATTGCCCTACTACCCTGAAGTCTCACAGTATATATTTGGGAACCATAGGTCTAAACTTTTCCTGTCTGTGGGAAGATTCCCAAAGGCCCTTAAATGATCTCATGTAAATTCAAGAAGAGTAGCTTTTTACCCTCCTCTTCTTGGCGGGGGTCGGGTATGCTGTCCTGGTCCTCGTAATGTAACAAGGCAGAGGGAAAGGGCTCCGGCCCCCTCGGCCTTATGTCTTCTGTGCCAATGGTTTCTAGTCCACCGGTTCTATCCTCAAACACCGGGACACTGGTCAAAAAAAAAAAAAAAGTAGCTTTGTTATATATTTGTTTGCTAGTTATCAGGTTATGGAGCATTAAATAAACTTACGACCTAAGACAGGAGAGGTAACCGTACGTACCTCATAGGACTAAAAGAGGTAATGAATGTATAGTTCTTTGAACAGCCCCTGGTATGATGATGTGGCTGTTATTATTACCTTTTTTATGGTTATTGTTAGTATTTCATAGCTGAAATGGCTGGTTTACTCTCAGAAATGGAGGTTTCTCTGAAGATATTCAAGATGTTAAGTTTACTGTATGGAGTTTCTAAAAATGGAGTAAGTGAACCCTAGCTATTCATTAAACCAGCAAATGGTCCTTTATAATGCTAGTGCATAGGCATTACTAACTCAATAAGTACATTTCAGTCTATGCTCTTGGAGATGTTTGCTGTAGCCCAGATTGAATCAGACCTGATGACCTGTTTGGCATTTCAGGGTTTGATGCTAACCAGTCTTGGTCCCACTTAGCTGGATCTCATTGAAATGTATGTAGTTCATGTTCAAATCTCTATGGAATACATAAGCCAATACTATTTCTGTTTTACTTATTAACAAATACAGAGTGTGAACCGGTTAGCAATGGAAACAAGAAAAGTAATGAAGGGGAATCACTCCAGAAAAACGGCTGCCTTTGTCCGGGTATGTTCTAGAGATAAGATTCACAGACTTTGAACTATAGTGGGCTCTTTGATTTATAAGATTAATTTTTCCTTGCATATCTATGGAGTGACCAATTTTCTTAATGTTTCCAAAAGAAATTATCAGAGGAGCCTGAATTTTGATACAAATTATTGTAAGGTGGTTGAGGGATGGATTTGGGTTTTGTGTGCCAGCTCAATTATCTCTATAGTTGTACCTGTATCTGGCAGGTCTAATACCTTTTTCCCCTGTTGATCAATTCCCAATTTTGAAATAAAGTGGAAGCTTCTTGAGTATACTGCTCAAAATCTTATCAAAGCAACACAATCCACATTTTCAAAAATGAAATTCTGGACTTCCGCCAAGATGGAGGCGTAGGTGGAAACACTTTGCTTCCTCTCACAACCAAATCTAAAAACAACAAAGTTTTAACAACAATAAATGCAACCAAACCACAGAAAATCAAACAATATGGAGTCTGAAAACAACGCAATGCTTAGCTAACCCAGTGAGAGGGGCAAAGCCAGCAGCAGAGTGGGTCAGGCAAAAACCATCCCCTGACTCAGGCGGCGCACAAGCAGCCGAGGGCGTGGATCCCAGGTGCAGGGTAGCTACGGGAAGGCACAGCTCAGCTGTCTGTCTGAGGTTGCACATTTGCGCACAGATAAACCAGTGAAGAGGCGAGCATTAGGGAGACCACGTAGGGTGGTGCGCACATTTGTGCTCAGATAAACAGGCGGGGGCAAGCGGTGAGGAGGACAGGGCGTGTAGAGGACCGCTATTGCTCCCTCTCTGACCCCACCCCCACATACAGCATCACAAACCAGCCACCTGGGTGGCCCAACCCTGGTGATCACCTAAGGCGCCTCTCCTCATACGTAACAGGCACAAACAGATAAAAACATGGCTCAACAACTCAGATCCCCAGAGCCAATAAATCTAAGCAATGAAGAAATAGCCAAACTTTCAGATGCACAGTTCAAAAAACTGGTGATCAGGATGCTCACAGATCTGGTTGATTTTAGTCACAAATTAGAGGAACATATAAAGGGTAAACTAATTGAAATGAAGGGAAATACACAGGAAACCAATAGTAATGGAGAGGAAATTGGTACTCAAATCAAGGGAGCAGACCAGAAGGAAGGAAAAAAATTACCAAACAGAAAAGGATGAAGAAACTAGAATTCAAAGAAATAAGGAGAGGCTTAGGAACCTCCAGGACATCTTTAAACGCTCCAACATCCAAATTATAGGGGTACCAGAAGGGGAAGAGGAAAAGCAACAAGTGGAAAACTTATTTCAACAAATAATAAAAGAGAACTTCCCCATTCTGGCAAAGGAAATAGACTTCCAGGAAATCCAGGAAACTCACAGAGTCCCAAAGAAGGTGGACCCAAGGAGGAACACACCAAGGCACATCATCCTTACATTTCCCAAGATCAAAATGAAGGAGAGAATCCTAGAATCAGCAAGAGATAAGGGGACAGTCATCTACAAAGGAGTCCCCATGAGACTGTCAGCTGATTTCTCAAAAGAGACCTTACAGGGAAGAAGGGGCTGAAAAGAAGTATTCCAAGTCGTGAAAGGCAAGAACCTACATCCAAGACTGCTCTACCCAGCAAAGCTTTCATTTAGAATGGAAGGGCAGATAAAGCACTTCTCAGAAAAGGTCAAGTTAAAGAATTTCATCATCACCAAGCCCTTATCATATGAAATGTTAAAGGGACTTACCTAAGAAAAAGAAGATAAAAAAGATGAACAGTGAAAGTACAGCAAACTCACAGTTACTAAGAACCACACCTAAAACAAAAGCAAACTAAGAGGACAGCTAGATCAGGAGCAGAACCATAGAAATGAAGATCATGTGGAGGGTTAGCAACAGGGGAGTGGGAGAAGGAGAAGGGGGGAGAAGGTACAGAAAATAAGTAGCATAGACAGTAGATAGAAAAGAGATAAGGGGAAGACAAGAATAGTATTGGAAATATAGAATCTAAAGAACTTGAGACAAGTGTTCAAGAACTAAAGGGGGGAATGGTGGGGGACGGGTGTGCAGGGTGTAGGGGAATGAAGGGGGGAATAGAACAAATATAATGGCATAATCAATAAAATGAAAAAATATACTTAAAAAAAGAAATTCTATGCAAAAGATAACAATAAAACATAAGCATCCCAGCCCTGCCCTTTTTATCTCATCCTTTCTACTCACTCAACTACCTCAAACTCTTTGTAGGAACTTCTCATGACCTCCATTTTTAAAAGTAATTGGTTTAAACAGCTGCTTTTTAACTTATCATTATTAGGTGTTTATTTACTTCCTTCAATGATAGTTAAGGATTTATTTTTCATACACCATTACTCTCCTTACTTGCCTTTCTCTTCCCAAAGAGACTGATACAGCAGAGGTAAGAGGGGGGCATTGGGGCTTGGAATGGGGAAATTATTTTTAGTGGTTTTGCTTGAAAATAGATGTTAGATGAAAACAGGAGTCCTAATCTGCAGTGATGGCCTTGCCAGGTGACCTCCTGTGATTCTCCCCTCTCTCCAGGCCTGTGTTGCCTATTGCTTCATCACCATTCCATCCCTGGTGGGCATCTTCACACGCCTCAACCTCTACCTGCATTCCGGTCAGGTGGCCTTGGCCAATCAGTGCCTCTCTCAAGGTAAGCCCATCAGCCCCTCTTCTCAGGCATCTGTGGCTGCTTAGGAAAGGTGACTTAGTACAGGGTATGTGGGGCATATGTAGGGAGAAAGTGGGTGTGTATATAGGATGAATAAAGTTATCAATAAATGGTGAGTTTTAAATCTGTTTCTTTAGTAGGAAGCGTATTGGATATGTAGACATTTAGAGTCAGATTATGAAGTGTGGCTATTTTCATAGAAGGACCATCTTAAATCTATCTCACACAGGTCAACCCAGGCAGCTCAGACATTCATGGCTAAGCATACCTAGAGAATTTTAGATGTTAGGACTGCTTTATCACAGCAAATTCATGTTTATTGTTGATGATGTTTCTATATTTGAAACCCCCAAAATACAACAGGTAGAATCTAGTGAGTATAGAATGAATACTATCTACAGCTTGCTGTTAGGGAGGAAAATTCTGCTCAAGACCCATTTTTGTGCTAGGTGTTAAGTGGTTTATTTGGGAGGTGATCCCCATCAGTGTTAGTAGAGTGGTGTGGAGGTGAGAGGGGGAAGGAAATGAAGCTAGCAAAGGGGATACTAGTGGTCAACTTACTGCTGGGAGCAACTGAGGTCCATTGTCACTGGGAGCCTCTGGGAGGGGGTGTCTAATGGCTACAGTGTTACCTCACCTCAGAAGTGGGGAAGACAGGTTATTTACTCTCTCTCTCTCTACTCCATCTGTTATTGACCAAGGGCTGCCTCTGGACCATCAACTTCTTGGCATTCGAGACTGCTCATCACCTAAGCAAAGAGAATGCCCTGAGGTGGAGGGTAGCAGTATTTGCTACAGGATGCTGTTGTTGCCTGGGACAGAATAGGCCAGAAGCTAGTACCTATCTAGCAGGCTTAAAGAAAGACACAAAGACTTAAAGAAATCCTGGTGTCATTTATGGAGCATTTATTACATGGTGAAACCTTTGCACATTTATCTCATTTAATCTTCTTGACAACCACATGTGGCCAGTCCTGTTGTTGGTGCCCTATTTCTCAGGTATGAAAACTGAGGAGGGCATGGCTTAGGAGCCAGCACTCAGCCCCTTATCTGACCTAAGGCCATGTCCTTTCACCACTCTGGAAGTATGTACAGTGCAAACAATCAGAAAGAAAGAAGGAGCTCCTACCCTTTGCAATAGCATGGATGGATCTGGAGAGCGTCGTGCTAAGTGAAATAAGCCAAGTGGTGAAAGACAAATACCATATGCTCTCACCTATAAGTGGAACCTAATCAACAAAACAAATAAGCAGGCAAAATATAACCAGAGACACTGAAATTAAGAACAATCAGACAGTAACCAGAGGAGAGTTGGGAGGGGAAAATGTGGGGTGGGGGGGAGAGGGTTTTTAGGAACATGTATAAAGGACACATGTACAAAACCAAAGCGTTAGAATCAAGGGTGGGAAGTGGTGGGGAATGGTAGTTGGGAAACGGAGACAACTGTACTTGAACAACAATAAGAAAATATTCAAAAGAAAAAAAAAAGAACTAAGTTTAAGTGAATACTTTGGGAATTTCTATAGAATTGTATGAGATGGACTGATGCTTTCAGTGGTCGTCTCCCCCATCATCTCCCACCTGAGGTCACAGTTTATGCCAGGGTTAGCAACTCACTACTTATTGCCATTAGTTTGGATGGGCACTCTAGG